CTACCACTTGAGCCACAGCCCCACTTCCTGCAAGGCAAGCACTCTACAGCTGAGCCACCTTCCCAGCCCTGCTTATGAAATTTTGTACATGTTCAATATAAACACAATATTTTTCCAAATATTTTCCACATTCGGTTGGTTGAGTCTGGATGTGGAACCTGTGGAAAACGGATGGCCCACTGCACTCTGTATTCTCTGATATTCAGGGTACTCTGGGAGATAAGGCAGAGGTGGAAAGAAAAGCTCATTTTAACCGTTGGAATAGATAAACTGAGCCCAGAGAGGAAGATTGCCTTGACTAGTGTTTCCTAGCAGATTAGTGTCAGGGAGGGCATGGGTGCTGAGAAGCTGTCCTTAGGTGCCAGGGTCTGCATACCTTATATCCTATAAGGACCTTATAGAAAGGCTGAGTTCCCATTTCCATTATGTAGATGAAAGCGTCTTTTTGAACAGGGTGGGAACTCAGGGTCACATAGCAAGGACCATCTCTTTCTCACTCCCCCTGACTCCCTCTCTCCCTCCATGGGTGAGCTTAAGTTCTGGTAGTGTCATTATTCTTCCATGGCCTTGAAGAAAATTTAGGCAGGGCAGGGTGTTACTACATACCTGTAATCCCAGCAATTAGGAGGCAGAAGCAGAAGGATTGACAGTTGGAAGCCAATCCTGGGCAACATAATGAAATCTTGTCTCAAAAAAACTAAAAACAGACTGGAAGGTGGCTCAGAGGTAGAATGCTTGCCTTGCATGCATGAGGTCCTGGGTTCGATTCCTCAGTACCACATAAGCAGAAAAAGCTAGAAGTGGCGCTGTGGCTCAAGTGAGGGACAGTGCCTAGACCCAGAGTTTAGGCCCCAGAACCAACCAAAAAAAAAAACCAAAAAAACAACATGCTTTCTTCTCTGTAGACTGGGGACAACTCTCCTAGGCCATTGTAGGCTGTGAAGCTCAAACAAGCGGTGTGGTATCTTAGTATTGCCATGCATTGTTAACACTGGTACTGCTGATGCCATATCTTGGCCGGACAGAGGCACTTCCATACTGCACACTCAGGACCAAGGTTCCGGTCGTGGGGCCTGAACTCTGGGCCTGGGCGCTGTCCCTCAGCTCTTCAGCTCAAGGCTAGCGCTCTACCACTTGAGCCACAGCACCATTTCCGGCTTTTTCTGCTTATGTGGTGCTGAGGAATCGAACCCAGGGCCTCGAGCATGCAAGGCAAGTGCTCTACCACTGAGCCACCTTCCCAGCCCTCTTTTCTCTTTTCTTGTATGCTTGTATATGCCAATACTGGGGCTTGGGCACTGTCCTTTAGCTGTTTCACTCAAGGCTGTAAGGAGTAAGGGTGGAGGTTCGATGGTGTTTATGTATTCACAAACTTGTGTGGCCACCTCCACCAATGGTTTCAGAGCTATTTTTTTTCACTGCAGTATAGGAGTGGAGGTTGGCCATCTGCTTCACAGCTTTCACGGTTCCTGGAAGTGGCTCTTCGCTCTACCACTTGAGCCACAATTTCACTTCCAGGCTGGCTTTGAGCCACAATTCTCAGATCTCAGCCTCTTGAGTAGCTAGGATTTCAGGCCTGAGCCACCAGTACCCAGCAATTTTAAACTTTTTTTTTTTTTGTCAGTCATGGGGCTTGAACTCTGGGCCTGGGTGCTGTCCCTCAGCTCTTCAGCTCAAGGCTAGTGCTCTACCACTTGAGCCATAGCGCTACTTCCGGTTTTCTGGTGGTTTCTTGGAGATAAGAGTTTCATGGACTTTCCTGGCCGGGCTGGCTTTGAACCACGATCTTCAGACCTCAGCCTCCTGAGTAGCTAGGATTACAGGTATGAGCCACCGGCACCCGGCTTGATTTTTGTTTTTTTTGGTCAGTCGTGGGGCCTGAACTCTGGGCCTGGGTGCTGTCCCTCAGCTCTTCAGCTCAAGGTTAGCGTTCTAAAGCATCAGCCCCACTTCCAGCTTTTTCTGCTTATGTGGTGCTGAGGAATCGAACTCAGGGCCTCATGCACGCAAGGCAAGCACTCTTACCACTGAGCTACCTTCCCATCCCCCCGGCTTGATTTTAAACTTTATTTTATTTTATTTTATTTTTGGTTGGTTGTGGGGCTTGAACTCTGGGTCTGGGCGCTGTCCCTCAGCTCTTCAGCTCAAGGCGAATGCTCTACCACTTGAGCTACAGCGCCACTTCCAGTTTTCTGGTGGTTTATTGGAGATAGGAGTCTCACAGTCTTTCCTGTCAGGGCTGGCTTTGAACCCCGATCCTCAGATCTCAGCCTCCTGAGTAGCTAGGATTACAGGCGTGAGTCACCAGCGCCCGGCGATTTTAAACTTTATAATCAACAAAACCTCCCTGCCTTTTTATAGTGTATATTGATATCTTAACACATAGCCCAGATAAAAGCACAGCTGTTCTGGTTGCATGCAGTGAAGAGTAAAACTTTCCCAATTGTCTTTATACCCTAACTTCCTTACCGCTTGCTCCTGACACCAGGCACACTGAAGGTTCTCTGAATTGCTTTAGCTCTCAATTGTAATGACTACCATGACTAGGCTTATACACCCTTAGAACAACTACCTTACTGCCCATCTGGATCATGCCTAGCAAATATGTGGTTCATGATCCCTGGCATCAGGTCCTAGAGAGCACTAGGTGTCTCTCCTATCGCTGACATAGGAGCCCATGGCCCGACTCTTTATCTGGTCACTGCTGGATCTTAGCAGAATTCACATCTTTCCTGGAAAGAGAGAGAGTGCACTCACACGTGTGCTCTTGCCCTCTCCCTTCCTCCCAGGAGACATCCCCAGAGGTGAGGGTAAGGTAAAATCTCCTTTCCCAGCCAGGGGAGGTCAGTGAGAGGCCCAGGACCCGGCAGGTAACCCTGTCTCTCTCTACTTCTCAGGAGAAGGCCATCAGCATCTGGGAGTCAGAGAATTTCTTCTTTGAACTGGAGCCTCTTCCAGGAGCCGTGGAGGCTATGAAGCAGATGGCCAACCTCCAAAAGTAAGTTTGCCCACGCAGGGGACCTCACTGTACAATCTACACCTCCTTCCTGCCACCCAGCCCTTGGTTGTCCTCATCCCTGAGCAGCACTCTGGTTAAAACCCTACTGCACAAGGCACTCACAAGTCAGTGCCTCACAGCATAGGGGCTGACAGTCCCCAGCAGGCATGAAGCAAGTTGGGGAGTGAGGGCAGAAGACCCCAGACCATGCTAAATGCTGAGGAGAGAGGGGGAGCAGGAGGCCTCACTTGGAAGGGAAGGTCTAGGAAGGCTGGAGATGTCATTTGAGAAATTTCTGTTCTACTGAAATGAGAGGTTCCTCAGGCTGAGCCCCTCCCAATAGCCTCAGCACACAGTCCCCAGAGACCATGAGCAACACGTGATGAGCTTCTCTGGGACCTTGTGTAAAAAAACATTTGTGACTTATGGTTCTTACCCTGTACAAGTCACTATCTAAAGTGGCTTTTGATGGTGTTTAGTATATTCACAAACTTGTATGGCCATCTCCACTAATGGTTTCAGAACCATTTTTTCACGGCAGTATAGAAAACCCTGGTCGCTTTAACAGCACCCAGCCACGCCTGCTCTTCTGCAGCCTCTGCCACCACTCATCTCCCCTGTCTCTAATGCTTTGCCTCACCTACACAATTCATGTAAATGGCATCATTCAGTATATGGTCTTTTGGGACTGGCTTCTTCACTTAGTGTAATGATTCCAGGGTTCATCCATTTCGTGTAATGATTCCAGGGTTCATCCATTTCGTGTGCATGCGTGTGTGTGTGTGTGTGTGTGTGTGTGTGTGTGTGTGTGTGTGTGTATGAGAGAGAGACACACACACACACACACATACACACAGAGAGAAAGAGTGAGTCATTGGAGACTGAACTGGCCTCATGTATATTAAACAAGTGCTTTACTGCTAAGCTATATCCTCAGTACAATGCTTATGCTTTCCTTTTTTCATGGGTGTGCTCAGGTTACTTGGATATGAACTCAGGACCTGGGCCCTGTCCTTTAGCTTTTTCACTCAAGACTGGAAGTTGGCCACCTTGACCATAGCTCCACTTCTGGCTTTGTGGTGGTTAACTGGAGACAAAGAGTCTCACAGGCCTGGTGCCGGTGGCTCCAGCACTATGATATTTCTGAGTATTTAGCATTAATGCCTGCACTGTGCATTTTCTATTTTTGTTACTTTCTTTTTTTTTGGTCCGGTCGTGGGGCCTGAACTCTGGGCCTGGGCGCTGTCCCTCAGCTCTTCAGCTCAAGGCTAGCACTCTACCACTTGAGCCACAGCAGCCATAGCGCTACTTCCGGTTTTCTGGTGGTTTCTTGGAGATAAGAGTTTCATGGACTTTCCTGGCCGGGCTGGCTTTGAACCACGATCTTCAGACCTCAGCCTCCTGAGTAGCTAGGATTACAGGTATGAGCCACCGGCACCCGGCTTGATTTTTGTTTTTTTTGGTCAGTCGTGGGGCCTGAACTCTGGGCCTGGGTGCTGTCCCTCAGCTCTTCAGCTCAAGGTTAGCGTTCTAAAGCATCAGCCCCACTTCCAGCTTTTTCTGCTTATGTGGTGCTGAGGAATCGAACTCAGGGCCTCATGCACGCAAGGCAAGCACTCTTACCACTGAGCTACCTTCCCATCCCCCCGGCTTGATTTTAAACTTTATTTTATTTTATTTTATTTTTGGTTGGTTGTGGGGCTTGAACTCTGGGTCTGGGCGCTGTCCCTCAGCTCTTCAGCTAAGGCGAGCGCTCTACCACTTGAGCTACAGTGCCACTTCTGGTTTTCTAGTGGTTTATTAGAGATAGGAGTCTCACGGTCTTTCCTGCCCGGGCTGGCTTTGAACCGAGATCCTCAGATCTCAGCCTCCTGAGTAGCTAGGATTACAGGCGTGAGCCACCAGCGCTCGGCTCCTTTGGATATTTTTAACTTATAGAATATATCCTCCTAGTAAGTCAAGAAGCATCTGTATATAGAAAAGAACACTTTTTGCCAGGCACTAGTGGATTATACCTGTAATCCTAGCTACTCAGGAAGCTGAAACCTAAGGATCCAGGTTCAAAACCATCCAGGCAGGAAAGTCCCTGGGATTTTTATTTCCAATTGACTACTAAAAGCCAGAAGTGGAGCTGTGGCTCAAGTGGTAGAGTCACAGCTTGGGTGAAAAAGCTAAGGGACAGTGCCCAGGTCGAGTTCAAGCTCTATGACTAGTGCGTATGCACATGCAAATCCACGCACACACCCACACAACACTGTGAATGGAGAGTAACTGAAGTGCTCACTCCAGCAGCCTATGTACTAAAATTGGAACCACACAGAGAGTAGCCTCCCTCCTTGTGCAAGGACAACATGGAAATTTGTAAAGCAGTCCATGTTTTTTTTTTTGTCAGTCGTGGGGCTTGAAGTCTGGGCCTGGGCGCTGTCCCTCAGCTCTTCAGCTCAAGGCGAGCGCTCTACCACTTGAGCTACAGTGCCACTTCCGGTTTTCTGGTGGTTTATTGGAGATAGGAGTCTCACGGTTTCTCCTGCCTGGTCTCTCCTGCCCGGGCTGGCTTTGAACCGCGATCCTCAGATCTCAGCCTCCTGAGTAGCTAGGATTACAGGCGTAAGCCACCAGCGCCCGGCAGTCCATGTTTTTTTTGAGAAAAAAAAAAGATTATACAAAGCATATTTTCCAAAGATAGAATACCTTATAGTAGAGTTTGAGGAATGGAATACTCTAGTAATGAACTAGATAATGTCAAAATGATTATCCCATTCTAGAGGGAAAACAGTTGGGAGTCAAGGCCATCTGCTTGAAGTCCTTTCATAGTAACCAGAATGTCCAAAACAGTGGGGCTCAGGGTCCCAGAGGTACAACCTGCGTGCCTTTCTGATGAACTTAGATAAATCTGGAATAGTTTGTTTGGCAGGGCCCTGGTGGCTCATTCCTGTAATCTTAGCCACTCAGGAGTCTGAGATCTCAGGATCATGTTTTGAAGTCAGGCCAGGCAGGAAAGTCTATGAGACTCTAATCTCCAACTAATCACCAAAACCGCCTGAAGTGGAAGTATGGCTCAAGTGGTAGAACATGAGCCTTGAGCAAAAAAGCTTAGGGATAGTGTCCAGACCCAAGACTGGCTGAAAAAAAAAAAAGTGGAGTTTGTAAAACACATGAGTCCTAAAAACTAGAATATGTTTTTACTAAGTAGTGGTCACTGATAGCATAGGCTTCTTGGAGGTCCAAATGTCTTAAAACGATGAAATAAAGAGTACTTGAGGAGGAGGAGGAGGAAGAGAGGGAATATTCTGGGAGCCAGTTCCTGTGAGGACAAGGGGAAAGGGCAGGGTGCAGATGGAGGCTGGGAGGGAAGAGGGACACAGTGGGAAGGAAGAGGTGAGCTCAGGCAGCTTGTGACCAATGGTGGAAGGGCAGGAAGACAAAGGGATTCATATGGTGAGAAAGTTGAGGATGGTGGAAGAGGATGTGTTCCAGCTACATTGGGAGCTGTACCACGTGCTCTGTGAGCACCCCAGGGCCTGCACCTCCCACTTGGAGTGCCCCATCCCACACCTGCAGTGCCCTGCCCTTGTTTCATGTGTCAAGGGGAAGATGCTCCAAAGATGAGATGAATTTCCTTTTTTTGGAGGGGTGGGGTAGGTTGAACACTGCTCCTTCAGCAATTCAGCTCAAGGCTAGTGCTCTACCACTTGAGCCATAGCACCACTTATGGTTTTCTGGTGGTTTATCCTGCCCGGGCTGGCTTTGAACCGCAGTCCACAGATCTCAGCCTCCTGAGTAGCTAGGATTACAGATATGAACCACCAGTGCTTGGCCCTGAATTTCCTGTTCTATCAGCCTTCAGTTGCTTGGTTGCAGGTGGGAAGAATTGGGTAGTTGGGTTCTTTTCAGTATCTGCCCAGACCTCCCCCAGAGAAATACAGGTAGAATGCATCACAGAGTCCTAGCTGGGCAGAGTTGGGGAGCAAGGGATCCCACAAAACTGGCGAGTTGTCTGTCTAGATGAGGCAGAAGAATTGCATCCGGGATGTTGGAAGACGTGCCAGAGACTTTAGAGGTAGTGGCTGGCCAGGACAAGTGTGAAACTGAAATTTAGGCAGCAGCGAACGGAACCCCCAGCCATGCTGGTGGAGAGTGGTACTCCCCAGCACCAGGGAAGAGTGGAAGTATTGAGGGGTAAGAGGCACATGTGTGGGTGTGTACTGTGTGCTGCCACTGAGCAGCCTGACACCTGGTAGATGTCGGCATGGAGCCAGTGAGTAAAGAAGATAGTGGAGGGATGTAAATGGCAGATGAGAGCAGCAAGGAAGTGCTGGGGCAGGCTGGCGGAGGGAGGCAGGGGCATGTTGGTGAAAGGTCTGTGGTCCAAGCCTTAAGACTCAGGGATTTAGAAAAGACAGTGGAGAAAAGGCAGAGATGCTTTTCTCTGAGGTTTTTTGGGTTATGAGGAAGAGCAGGCCTCATTTGAGAGGGCTCCTCACAGGAGGTAAGCAGACCGCTGTGTGATGCCACCTTTTGCAGAAGCAGGGATGAGAACCTTGGGGCAGAGGCTGAAGATTTAGGGCCACAGCAGGTACAAGGGGCACAGGGAGCATGGAGAGTCCATGAAGCGAGGCAATGAAAACAGCAGTCACCATGTCCCAGGAACCCACAGGGCTTCCAGGGACCAGAGAGGAAAACACAAGTCTTATAGCTCAGCTTGAGGGACCAGCAGGTATGGTGCCAGAGGCACACACTGGCACTAATGAAGACGTTTTGAACCAGAAGACACTGGTAGTAAGGGACCCTGGTCCTGAGGGGAGGAGAAGGCACTTGGGAGGTTAGTCTGGGTCAAGGTCAGCTCTCCTACAGATAGCTGGGATTAGCCATGACTGTGGGAGGCACAGCCCTCATGCAGTTCCCATGCTGCTCTCAAGGAGCCACAGCTGGAGAGCTTGGCTCCCACATAGTCTACAGTTGGAAAACTTGCCTGAACTACAGAAATTCCTCCTCATAGGTTTCTTTCCTTATTCCTTGCTTCCTTGCACTGCCCAAGGCCCCAGTTCTCATCCTGTACTTTTCCTTTTCCTTTCTCTGTTTTTGGTTTTGGGGTGTCTAACTCTAGATTTTTTTTTTTTGTCAGCGGTGGCTTTTGAACTCTGGGCTTAAGCACTGTCTATAAGGCTTTTTCATCTCAAGGTTACCACTTTGAGCCACAGCACCACTTCTGGTTTTCTGGGAGTTAATTGGAGATAAGCATCTCAAAGACTTTCCTGCCCAAGCTGGCTTTGAACAATGATCCTCAGATCTCTGCCTCCTGAGTAGCTAGGATTACAGGTGCCCAGCTTTAACCCTAAGTGTTATGAATACAAGGTACATGCACTACGGCCCCTGAACTAGAACCAACCCTTTGCAGTTTTTTTTTTTTTATGTTGGTTGTTGCCAAATGTCTTTCTCTCTTTTAGTTTTCTATTGAGATTTTGGAGAGTTTCTGATTAACTCAGCAGTCCAGTGCCCATCCTTGAGCTTCTTGCCTATGGTCAGGGTGGAGTCACTTACAGCTGCCCAGGGCTACTGAATAAAACAGAAATACACGCTGAAGTCTTGGTGTGGAACACTGGGTTTCTCCCATAACTGGTGCAGGCTCAGACCTGCCCCACTGAAGGCTGGGAGGTGGAGAGGTGTGGGGTTATGGCTGCTGGCTCACTGTTCTATCTTTCCTGGCAGCACTGATGTCTTCATCTGCACAAGCCCCATCAAGATGTTCAAGTATTGTCCCTATGAGAAGGTAAGGTGTTCCATCTTGCTCTAGGCTGGCCATAGGTGCCTTGTGCATCCTAGGCGAGGGCTGCTGGGCGTGGACTGGTAGACTGGGGCCCCCCTCCTTACTCCCTGATTCTGTGTCAGCAGCTCTGCTCCTGAGGCAGCCTCTAGCACCAGCTTAGGTGATGCCCCTTGCTCTGGAAGCAGGCTCAGTTAGGAAAGTATCCCTCTTGTTCATCAGATGCACCTGGTCCAGAAGAAGCTAGGTGATGGAGGCAGCAGAGAGGGAGGCAAAGGAGGGATAGAGGATCATGGACATCTTTACATTAACCCCCTCCCCCTCCTGGTGCTGGGAAGGTGGCTCAGTGGTAGAGTGCTTGCCTTGCATGCATGAGGCCCTGGGTTTGATTCCTCAGCACCACATAAGCAGAAAAAGATAGTGTTCTACCACTTTAAGCCACAGTGCCACTTCTGGTTTTCTGGGGGTTAATTGGAGATGAGTCTCATGGATGAACCACGATCCTCAGATCTCAGCCTCCTGAGAAGCTAAGATTACAGGTGTGAGCCACTGGCACCCAGCTTATGCATTGGACTTTAAATCATCTCTAGGTGACTCATACTAAATACAGCGTCAGCGCTGTGGGAATAGCATTGTGCAGTATTATTTAGGGAGTCATGAGAAGTCTGCACATGTTCAGTACACGTGCAGTTTTAGTCTATGGTTGGCTGAGTGCATGGATGAAGAGGGACTAGAGGCAGACTGTATTTATTGGAGTGAGATTGGCAGGCAGGTTTCTACTCACCCATTTCTGTGGCTTTGTACAATATCTATATGCCGACCACCCTCTGCTCTGCATCCCAACCCCCTGTGTCATCCCTTCCATCCAGTCTTGTTCCTGAGAGTTTTCTTTCTAAAACATCCTGGCATGTCTGCTTGTCTCCTCTGACTGCCATCACTCCAGTATTTCCTCCCAGCACTCTTCACATCAACTCCAAAGCAACAGAGCTGATGAGGCCTTTCATAAGGCATATTGTGTGGGCCCATGTGAATGATCTCCCTTTAAAAAGACCTATGCAGCTGGGTGTTGGTGGCTCATCCTAGCTACCAGGAGGTTGAGATCTGAGGATCGCAGTTCAAAGCCAGGCCAGCAGGAAAGTCTGTGAGACTGTCTCTAATTAACCAGCAGAAAACTGGAAGTGGCGCTCTGGCTCAAATGGTAGAGCACTTGCCTTGAGCTGAAGAACTCAGGGACAGCACCCAGGCCCAGAGTTCAAGCCCCAGGGAACAGATGATACTACACAAAAGAAAATGTACTTATTTCCGGATATATGTAAAGGTAACCCCACTATATATGACCTCTAAAACAACAATAAATTGGGAAAAATAATACCTATGCAAGCCTGGCACTATTGGCTTACATTTGTAATCCTAGCTACTCAAGAGCTGAGATCTGAAGATCATGGTTCAAAGCCAGCCCCGTCAGTCTTTGAGCCTGGTATCTCTAATTGACCAGCAAAAAGCTAGAATTAGAGGTATGGCTAAAGTGGTAGAGCACCAGCTCTGAATGAAAAAGCCAAGTAAGAATGTAAGGCTCTGGCTGGGCACTGGTGGCTCATGTCTGTAATCCTAGCTACTCAAGAAGCTGAAATCTGAGGATAGCAGTACAAAGCCAGCCCAGGCAGGAAAAGTCTGTGAGACTCTTATCTCCAATAAACCACCAGAAAACCAGAAGTGGCGCTGTGGCTCAAGTGGTAGAGCGCTTGTCTTGAGCTGAAGAGCTGAGGGACAGTGCCCTGGCCCAGAGTTCAAGCCCCACAACCAGAAAAAAAAAAATCCTATGCAAATTTCTTTTCTTTTTTGTCAGTCCTGGGGACTGAACTCTGGGCCTGGGCACTGCCCCTCAGCTCTTCAGCTCAAGGCTAGCTCTCTACCACTTGAGCCACAGCACCACTTCCAGTTTTTTTTTTTTCCTGCTTATGTGGTGCTAAGGAATTGAACCCAGGGCTTCATGCATGTGAGGCAAGCACTCTACCACTGAGCCAACTTCCCAGCCCCCTATGCAAATTTCTGACCGTGCCTTCATGGCCTGCCTGTCTGTCTCCAGCCACAGTGCTTCTTATCTTTTTGTTCCTGCGTTGTCACTCTGCTTGGATGTCTCCCACAATTCCAGACCACCAAGCCTAAAGCACCTTCATGTTGCATCTAGTTCTGTCTTTTGTCCTTTATGAATGACCCAGAACCACTAGGATGGTCATGTGACTTTATCTCTGACATCTGTGAGGGTGGTAACTGGCCTTCCTGTTCCCTGTTGATTCCAGCCTCCCAGAGCAGGGCCAGGCTCTTGGGTAGGAACACTGGGCATTTCGTTTTGGATGACTAGATCTATGTGTTCAACCAGAGAGTTGTCATAAAACCACTTCTATTTATTTGAAACTTTATTATGCCAGGGACTCTTTTCATTATGACTTCTACACTTATAGCTGCTCCCTGGGAGACAGGCATGCTTTTATGATTTGATAAAGAAATTGAGACCCAGATTGCGAAGTCAGCCCATTCAATGGGCCTGACAATAACACAGCCAGAGGGGCCAGTCCACATCTGCCACCCTGAGCTGGACCCTCAGCCAGCCTCCATCTCATGCAAGCAGTACATGTTAGCTGGAGAGGAAGCAGCACATTAGAAGAGCAGGTGACAGTTAGCAAGGGCTTTAACCTGAGCACATGTAGGGCTTATTAGAAGGATGTTGGAACTAAAACTATAGAGCATCTAGATATTCAGCAAAGATGCATCTAGGACCCTGGGATCACATGGATCTCCATTAACGGCTTTTGTCACCAAGCTTCACAGTCCAGAGAGAATCTAATTTGTGATTTGCCCTATCTCCCATCACAGGTGGGGTCTCTGGGCTGAGCATGAATACCTCACCCTGCAGCCCAGGGACGGGTTGAATACAGCCCCACCAGCTACCTCCTTTGTAGGGATTGGGAACTGTGGGCATGGAAACCCAAGGGGGGAAGGACTGGGCTCAAAGGTCCTGCCAGGTCACCATTCATGGCTGACTGGGGCAGTGATGGTGGCTATGTCACCCAAATAAAAGAAAAAGTAGAAACCCATTTCTACACTCCTGCCACCTAGAGGAAGGAATGCTGCTAGCATCTGACATGTTCCCTTCCCAGTTTTACTCAGATGCCCATTAATAATACATGCATTTTAATAAAGCTTAAATCTCATATGGCTTAATATCATTTTTCAACCTGATACTATATTTTTAGTATTTTTTTTCTGTCAAACACTGCTCTTTAAAAAACTGCTGTTGGTAGCTGGTCATGTCTATTAAAAAAGTCTTTGTGTTATTATGTTCTTAGAGTAACTTCCAAAAATAGGGCCCCACGAGTGAAGGGATGACTCTTGCACGGACCACCTATGAAATCACATCCGTTTCCCACGACAGCAGTGGTTAGAGTCCTCAACTCTCACCAGGGACCAGGCTGGGTCACATAGGGTCACTTGGTAGAGGAAACGAGACACTGTAAAAGATCACGAAGATAGGAAAGTATGCAGTGTACTTGAGGAACTCTGTATTGAGTCTGAGTCTTGCTGGATTTTGTCTCGCCAGCCTAGGCTACTGGGCCTGACTGGAAAGGGTGGTTGGGGCAGGGCCAAGCTATGTGCATTAACTTCTTCACAAGCTCCTACCCATTTGAGACAGAAGTAGCTCCTCTGCTTCCTCAACCCACCCATCCCTGACCCCCATACACAGGCAGACAGGTCTCCCTGGCTGGTGGTGGCTGGGGGAGGTGGCTGTTCATGGTTCCTCTGCCCCATGCTGGGGCTGGTCTCAGGACCTGTGTGTTAGGATGTGTTGCCCTCATGGTAGCCTAGTCTGTACTCAGACCCTAGGCCACTCACAGAGCTCCAGGGTCAACTCTGCCCACTGAAGCAGATCATCTGGTATTATAAATGTGTTTCTGTGAGCAATGTCCCTGGAACTGATTCCCTTTAAAGGCCTTGTCAGAGACCAGGAACCCAACTGACAGCTGCTAGCTCACCCTCAGTCACATGCTGTGAGTCAGGGCAGGGCTCTATCCAGGCATCAGACTTTCCTTCTGCCTGATGCTAGCCAACATTACCCCCAGACTTGAGGATAGCATCTGACTGGCAGGTACCACATTGACAGGTTGTGTGGGTGTCTGAGGTGCACATGGCCTTCACAGCAGCCTTACTGAGACCGCCCTTACCCTTTCTCACAGACAACAAAACTGAGGCATGTGGGGGGGAGTTGCTAAGCAACTTGCCTATGGTCAGCAGCAGGAAGTAGTGAGCCAAGGCTGGAGACTCCTGGTTCCCCAGGCCTCATCCATCTCTTCTCAGGCTCCACCTGACCTGGAACAGAAGTAGCATGACTTTTGCTTTATTTCTCCCCAGAAGAAAAAATTTTAAACTCAATGGCAAGGTGTTGTGCACAGGTGTGACATTTTCTCTGCCCTTTTCTAGTCCAGTGAAGGGGTAATGGTGCACGGTGTCGGGGCTGGGTGGAAAGGGGAGCATATTCTGGTGCTTTGAAGGCTGGTTTTCAGGTGACATGTCTGCCAGAGTCTGCTTTGGATTTTAGGAATGAGTGTTAAACAATCCT